GATACCCCTTATAGCGCAAAACAAACATTCTTAACTTGCAAAAATATTGAACGGGAAAAGGATTCGAACCCTCGACCATCTGCTCCATAGGCTCCGCGCTCATCCACTACACCAGACGTCCACACCTGGTTCTCAGGTGCGGATCCTACTTAACGAAACTTGACATGTCAGCGAGCAACCGAGGCTCATAACTCCTTTTAGAGAATCGCTTGGCAGATTGTGGATACAGATTTGAAACCAGCGTCTCACGCTGATTCAGATGATGTATAGTTTAACTCATTTCGCACTTTCGACTCTAGGTCCGCCCCTTGTTAGAAATTTCTTCACAAGTCATGGAATACGCTTTAGAACTCAAGTCTCTTGATGTCACCATTAAATCGTTTTGATGTCACCACTAAATCGTTTTCCTATCATAAGTTGTAACATAAACGGTTCTTAGTCCAATTACTTGTATGAAATAATATAGTGCAATTTATCAAATATCATTCGAAAATCGAATAACATCCGAAAGTCGAATGAAATTGATATTTGAATACCATTCAGTCGAATATTCAATTTCTATTCTTGCATATTATCCGATAGTCGAATATTCGAAATTTTTGGTTTTCGAATATTTGGAAAGAATTTCGAATTTCCTTAAGTTTATGGGGTAGTATGAAGTCGAGAAGCCACGAAAACCCGACAATCCCAGTCCCGGAGAACCCGCAGTCCGGCTTTCCGGAACGGTGATTGGATGGGCACGCCGCGATGGGCGGGCATGGCTGGGAAGGGTGGTGGTGCAGCCACATGTGATTTTAGTACGTATCGCTTCAAAACAGAGGACGTCAAAGTTGTTTCAGGCTGGCAGTAACTTCATATTGGGGTGGGCGATAGGTATTGATTGATCAACACTCATTGTTGCAGCGACGCCGCCACTGGGCGTAGGCAGTTGGTACGGGCTATAGTTGCCCAATCTGTGCTGTGAGCCTGTGGCTCCCGCCAGAGTGCCGAAGCCATGCCAGCGTCACGCCAGCGCCGAGCCAGCGTTTCGATCGATACACGTGTATTTCGTTGGGGACATCTACCTGCTGAGAACTAGGTCAGATGGGCCTCGCCCCAACGAAATACACGTATCGATCGAAACGCTGGCTCGGCGCTGGCGTAGCACTGGCATGGCTTCGGCACTCTGGCGGGAGCATGTCGGCGACATAAGTCGTTTTTCCCCAGGAAAGTTCCCATAGGTTCTACGGTGAATTCACAGTGGGGAGGACCCCGCCCACTTGATGTTACCCTCCTGTGTTAGAGCCATTTTTCGCCGTTTTCGCGCTTTCCTGTGTGGATTTTCGGATTCAGCATGGCGAATATGCCCGTATAGGCATAAAATCTCGAAATCAAAATCGTTTTTGCCCGAGCACTGCCTTTAACGAATTCCTGATAGTGATATACCTAAACGCGTTATAAGCACTCAATATTTTGATTGAACATCCGCAAAGTGTGCTCGTGTCTCTTAGTGAGATGCAAAACTGTTTGTTTACAAAGCAATCTATAGCTCTTTTTGTCAACAGGAGTCGCTGAAGTGGAAAGAACTTGTTGCATTGTCACCGACAACTAGCGTTCAGAATGGTGCATGTTAAGAATAAAGCATGTTGGAAGTAGCGTCCAGATGTTTTGAGGTATTCAGGTTTGTCAAGTGGTGCAATTTCGTATCATGGTTCATAAGTCTAAAAGACTTGCAAGTTCCGTTAATGTCGAGACGAGATCATTACCATTGTGCGCTCCTCAAACTCATCGTTCTATAATCTCCATTAAATTTCGCTCTTTTTTCCTTCTTTATTGCATACCGTCTGGAGTTGTTCGCAGTATTTGAGGTCTCCCCTCCAACATTGTTTATTTCTTGGGAGTGCAAGCGTTGAGTAATAATACACACATCTCGGGTCACTAGCTAATAATCAGCGGATTTGGTTGAGCTACCATTTTTAATTTAACAAAAAGCTCACACGTATTTAAAGACAGCGTTCCAGGCAAATCTGGACGTATGGGGCTCTCACGTGGATCCTATTTTTGGGGCCCTAACTAAGCCACTGCCCAAGCGGCAGCTCAGGTAGTGCTCTGACGGCTGAGATATTCGCCTCGAAACTGGACCCCGGGATCGTATTCGCATGGATTCATGGCGCAACACTTCAATTTCGCGCCAGGACCACGCGTGTCGCGCCTTGAATCAATGCGAATACGATCCCGGGGTCTTGGAGGAGAATATCTCAACTGTGAGTTCACCATTCGAGCTGCCGCTTGGGCAGTGTTTTAGTTAGGGCCCCAAGATTACTCTTGTGAGTTCCCCATAGGCTCAGATTTGCTTGGGCGCTGCCTTCAAGCAGGAAATCTACTCGACTGTAACGTCTTTTGCTATGGTATTGTATGGTCGATATGGGTATCTCTTGCATGTTGTGCTACAGTTGGTCGCAAAACATAATAGGCGGAGATTGGATTGGTATGCACCCGCCTTGCTACGGTTCGCGCCGTTTCGCAGCTGTATATATCTGGCTCTCCCGGTGCAGCCTGGGTTACCGTTTAGGAAGATGACCAAACCACGCTTTGTCTCTCCTCCCTCTTTTTTTTCGGTTCGGCCATACCCTATTTGCAGTTTCGATACTGCAGTTAAGGCCCCTCCCCCTTACCCTCCTTCCTGAGCTTACCTCAGAGTGACTGGAGTAACTGCATCTTCTACACTTCAGATTGAAAATGAATATTACTGCATTGTCTACACCAAAATGTGCATGGGGTTTGATGGTGGCTGATAAGCTTCATTTTCATTGCAAAGCGCCAAAAATCAATAAATCAATTGAAACATCCAGCGAATTGCTTCCGGAAGTAGCCTAAAACTATCCACGTGGTCGAAAACATATGTGAGCAAAGTTCCAGCTCAATCGGTTCACGCGCAAAGAAGTCTATAAAAAACATACGGTCAAGACTTGCATAAACTTTGACTTTTGTAAATATATAGATTACTAGCTTGCTTACCCGGCTCCGCTCGGGCCTGTCAAAACACCTGTAATAAAGGTCCCATCCCTATCCCTGCACCGCCTTTCCCTGTGCCCACTTCTACACTTCATTTCCCGTTCCCTGTGTTTAATCAGCATGCCCACTTACCCCCCCCCCCCCTGTGCCAACTCCCAGCCCTGTAGCTCAAACTTTACAAAAAATCGATAAAATCGATAAAAGCAATGGACGATTTTAAAAACTAATATTGTATTCATAATCAGCATGCTCGATTACCCCCCTGTGCCAACTCCCAGCCCCGTAGCTCAAACTTTACAAAAAATCGACAAAATCGATAAAAGTAATTAATAATCCTGAAAACTAATATTGTATTCGGAATCCCCATGCTCGACTACCCCCCTATGCAAACTCCCAGCCCCGTAGGTGAACTCAGCAAAAAAATCGATAAAATCGATAAAATCGATATCGATCGATAACAAAAAGTAGCCTATGACACGCTCCCTGCCCCGAAGTATATGTGTGCCAAGTTTGGTCTAAATCGGTTCAGAAATAAAAATTTCTATTCCGCACATACGTACAGACATACAGACAGACAGACATACAGACATACCAGTGGCGTACCGAGGGGGGGGGGCGGGGGGGGCGCGCGCCCCCCCCGAGAATGGGTCGCGAAATTTTTGAAAGTTACTTATATGGGTTATAAAAATGTGCAAGTGACTTGTTTATTTTTGTAAATAATTAAAATGATTTTTAAAAATTTTTAAAAATTCTAATTAGCCTTGTAAAAAATTTTTTTTCGGGGGCGTGGCTGACGCCACGCCCCCTTTTTTCAGATTTTAGGGGTCGGGGACCCGCAAAAGTTCTTAGAAGCACCCCAAAAAATTTTTCGGAGTGCGTGGCTAACGCCACGCACCTTCTTTAGAAAAAAATTTTTGTCGCGCCCCCCCCGAGCCGAAATCCTGGGTACGCCACTGAGACATACAGACATTCAGCTTTATATATAAGATGTCTCCCAAGAACCCATGTCTGCGTCTTCTCATTCTACTCAATCTTTAGCTGGCAAACTACCAACGCCTGCACTCCCAAAGCTTCTACGAAGCGGATATGCTGCTCCGTGCTGAACGCTTCTGCCTACACTGGTTTGAAACTGACCGTATTTTGCCGAGCCTTTTAGGCTTAAAACATACCTGGCGGCGGGTGTCCATACGTAGCGGTGGCAGCAACGCTTTTAGTGCGTATTGATTGCAGCGGAGTGACGCCGCTGCTTAGCGCTGCAGCAGCTAACGTGAAAGGTCATGTCCATACCTAGCGTCTCAATTCTAAGCAGCGCTGCGCAGCGCTGCTCAAGCTGAGCAGCGCTGCAACTGGATTTTGCAGCTGAGTTACGCTCACTTTTTCTGAGCGTATCTCAGCTGCTCTGAGCTGATCTCAGCTGCTTTGAGCTGCAACAGCTGATTTTATGTGTTTTTGAACTCATTTTTTTGAAATTTGCGTGTTTTGGATAGTTTTCTTCCTTTTTTTCAATTTTTGTCAAAGATTCATCATCCCATTCTGCCTTTTTTATTGTTTTGTCGTATTATCATGCTGAACAATTTCATTTTCGTTCCTCTTATTGTTAATTTGCAAAACGAACGTTGGTATTTGAAGTCTTGATTGTTTTTTTTCTTTTTTGTTTGCAACTAGCAAATGTATCGAGTGTTTGCATGCATTGATAATAATTTTGAATTTAGATATAGCGTTTTCTTTCGTTTTTTGCAATGGTGAGTTTTTTCTTGAGCATCTTCGTTTCAATTTCCTTCTCCTTCTTTTTATTTCTTTTCAGTCTTGTTTTAATTCCTCCCTACCCTACTGATGAGCCTCGGGGAGGGTGCTACTCTCATTTCTTCTTGCTGTTTTCTCCTGTCTAGGGTTCAGAGGCGAAACAGGGAACTTTTGTTTCCTATTTTGTTTCTTCCTTAGCTTTCGTCGTGTTCTTTCCGCATCATTTTGTTATTTTTTCTCAGTTTATGTGTTATTTTCAGAAAATGGTACTCGCTAACGCTGCCGCATTACAAGATATGCTCTCGACTATGGAAGCGATGCAGGAATTGATGGATATTGAGGAAAGCCAGCCAAGAAGATCATATGTCCGAGAAGAACACGTGCCTTTCCTTGAGTCCCGCTTCCGCAACTTCGATTCCTACATTACTACCCACAACCCGGAGAATTTCGCACACTTCACAAGGCTGTTCCCTAGTGAATTCCAGGACTTATTTGAGCGCCTAGGACCTCATCTTCAACATGAGCCGTTCCATGCGGCTCCTATCAGTGGACAACGCAGACTTTTCGTCTACTTGAGGTACAGAAAACTTCATTTCTTCTTTTCTTCTGTTATTTTTCGTTTGATTCATGTGTGTCGAGTGCTGAATGTCCACTCATTAGATTTGTCGGACACGGTTACGCATATGGAGCTCTTGCGGAAGAGCTCAACATCGGAAAACAGACCGTGTCTGTGACGACAATGCGATAGCTTACGTATTCTAATAGCACAACGGGTCTACTTACTCCACACGCGCTATCTCGCTCAAAGCTACGCTGCAAGCCAGGGGACCTCCACATTCACCTGCACTACAGGCAATGGCGGTCCCAGAATTTCCGTCTGGGAGGGGAGCGCAAAAATTTTTATTGAAGGTACGTGGCGTTAGCCACGCACTCCGAAAAAATTTTGGGGTGCTTCTCAAAATTTTTGCACGGTAGAGTGCCCTTGCGGGGCCAAGATTTTGCGCAGCTGCTTGGTGCCGCAGCCATCCTCCGGGTAGGGGAACGAAAGCCGCCAGCTTCGGTCGCCTTCGCGGACTGCTGGTCCTGGAACGACATGCAACAACGTTGCGAAAGGACCACTCTGACATTCGGTGCGTGCGGCGCGCACTTGTGAATGGCCAGCAGTGCGGTCCGCGCGCTTAGATTTACGAGCGGGGTCATGTACCGTGCGGCCCGCGCGCCTTGTATCCTTAGCGTACGGCCCGCGCGCAATATATTCTCCCCGTGCCGCCCGCGCGCCTCCAATTCTCACACGCTATAAGCGTAATAGGTACCCGCGTGAGGTACGACGCTATGATTAGGCTGCTCCATCACTTGTGAAGCTGACTTAGGCCCGTATGCACGTACGTCCCCGCTGGGGAGGGGAGGGGAGCTGGATCCCCAGGGGAACGATCCCCTCCGCCGAACCCCGCCATGACAGAGGGGAGGGGAGCGATCCCCTCCCCTGCACCTAAGCGGGGATGGTGTGAATGATTTCAGAGGTATTGATCGAGCGAACCCCAGTGCATACGGGGTTCGAATGGGGGAGGGGATCCCTTCCCTTCCCCCACTCGAACCCCGTATGCGCGAATTCAACTCAATAACGCGGGGGAGGGGATCGACATCCCCTGCAGCGAAGTAGGGGTTCGATGGTGTAGATCATGCCAGAGACACGGGTATTCCGGTTCTGCTCAGTCATTACCAAGCATTTCGTTCATTTTGATGGAGGATTTTCTTTGAAAGCCGGGTTCTTCTCTCAGCGACCTGTGGCTTGCTATTTGTCTTTCTCTTCTATATTCGCCTCTTGAGAAGAAATCCGAGCAACAATAGCTGCCAATTTCGATTATTTATAGGAGTTCTTGATCATTCAGGAAATTTGCGCATTGTTCATATAACATTATAGTTTCAACTATATAGGCTGAATAAACACACTGTAACTTTCATATTTCATGACATGTTGCCATTATCTTGTTTTTTTAACATAAGCTGCCTCGAAAAAATCTAGAAAGTAGCATATTTGCCTATTTCTGAGTAGAAATCCCCTGGGGAGTGATCCCCTCCCCAGCGTTCCCCTTGTGCATAGCAGGGATGGCTGCTGGGGATCATTCCCCTGGGATAAACGACGATATGCAGCTGATAGTTACAGCGTTTATGGAGAGCTGGCACAATTTGCAGCTTCTGTTATGTGTTAGAATACTGCTTTAAGCGTCCGCGCGGCACCCCCCCCCCTTTTCGTCAGCTTAACGTCTTCTACCCATTCCCTTGCAGAGACACATCAACTTCTATAGTTCAACATTTTGACGCTGAAATGGAGCAGCATGAACGAAAGTGGGCAGCATCCAAGAAAGCAGGAACATAATGGGAGTAGAAAAAATCATTTTTAGCGCCCCGAGCGCAGTCACTGCATACGCACATTCCGCAACCCTAAATTAATTGAAGTGAGGAGATGAAGATGAGTTGCAGACAAAATACGAAATAAGAAAGAGTTTTTCATAGAAAATTTGAAAGCAAGGTGATTTCCCCGCTTGATCCCCTCTTGTGCATAAGAGGGTTCACTTCCCCTCCCCACAGGGGATCCCTTGTACGATATTGTCTTTGTGCATACGGGGGTTCGCGCGGGGAGGGGAGGGGATCCCCAGCGGGGATCATTTCAATGGTTAAGCGCACATCCCCTCCCCGCGGGGATGTACGTGCATACGGGCCTTAGGTATCATTTCTTGGCATTTGAGTAATCGCAGGAACATAAGAAGTTTTTTACTTCTACGGAGGTTATCCCTCGACAGCGTCCCGAATGGGTGCTGAATTTGGATCTTGAATTCTGTAAATTCAAATTCAAATTTTCGAATTTTTTGAATTCTGGATATTTTTGGACTGTGAAGTTGAGAATGCTCACGGGACGACGAAAGAAGAAAAAGAAGATCTATGAAAGAGACTTATTCTCTAGTATCTAGCTTGCGGACGGAGCGCTTTCGATACCGTGCGGCCCGCGCGCATTCACCGTTCGGCTCTCGCGCATTCACCGTTCGGCCCGCGCGCACGGAGCGTTCGGCCCCCTCGCACTACAAGGCGCCGCACGGGGAGCACGCGCGCGCCGCACGGACCGAATGTCAGAGCAGTTAGCCGCGAAAGGCGGCTCGAACTGGCGGCTTTCGTTCCCCTACCCCCATCCTCCAGAGCTGGCACCAGTGCTGCGGCTGAACTACCGTAGGCGCGCTCTCGTCGTCCTTAATCTCTCGCCGAGATATTTTCGCGCTCGAACCTCATCGCGAATTTTCCTTCAGAGGTCGCACGACTGACTACCACTATATCGATCAGGACCGCAGAAAATTTGTAATTTATCAGTTAAACGCAATTCAAAAAGCATAAAACAAAACTAAAAATAATAAAAATGGTAAAATATAATGGTTTTTTGCACAATTTGTCTTGACCTTTACAGCAGAAGGGCTTTGAACATACCTAGAGCCCAGAGCAGAAGGGTTCTGAACATATCTAGTGATGTGTGATGTGGAATGCCAAAGCAAACACATCTTAGGGAGTTTTATTAGAATAAGACTGTGCCACACATGAAATGAGATAATATACGTAGGTATGAAATAAGATGATATATGACAGTTATGATTCTAAATGTCTATCTCTCGGCTGCACATTCTTCAGTCAGGAAATCTTGCTCAACATACGTATTTACTATTTTTCTGTTTTTGTGTCGTTTTGTATTGCATGTTACAATAAATTACAAATTTTTTGCGGTCTTGATCAATATACGATTTGTGACAGTCGCGCGGCCTCTGAGGGAACTCGCACTTCACGCGATAGGTGCGAGGCTGCTGCGAGGATCTCTTGACAAGAAGTTGTGGACGATGAGAGCGCGCTTACGGTAGCTCAGTCGCGGCATTGATGCCAGCTCTGGCGCTGGCTGCGGGACCAGGCGGCTGCCTGTATAACACTTGCACGCCTCCCTGTCTTACCGCCTCGCTTGAACTTGCTCCGCGTTGGTGAACGTGTTCTCTGACCATTTTCCACGCCTAATTAACGTTTAAAGCTCAACTCAGAGGTCTTTTCCACGGTGCAACTCTCGGCACCGCAAGAGCACATTATTTACTGACAAATCTACTCAACTTTAGGTATCGTCAAGTCGTTGATCGCACGGACTGGACATCACTGCAGAATACGAGCCGCGTAACAAAACTTTTGCCCCAGTAGAAATTGCCATTGTATAGGTTGTCCGCGCTGCGCGCGGAGAGCAACGCTGTTGCGTCCAGTGAAGATAGTTGAGCGCAGAGAAAAACAGGCGGCGAGAGTGCACGGGGAAAGAGGAGTGACGCGCAATACACACCTTGCGCACTCTCCGCGCCCTGCGCGGACGGCCTATACAAGTTGTGCTCTCGCAATATTCTAGGAGAAAGTGTGATGGAAGACGCTTGGTCGAAATACGAGAAAAGCAAATTGATTAGAACTTCTCTCCTGCTTCTCTTATTTAATGACAAGCAACCAATACGCCCTTTCGGCCATCTCTCCCTTCACGGCCATTTTGCGCCCACAATTTACCAGCATCACAGATGTGCAGGGTACTACCAAACGAAACCCGCCCGCAAAACTTAAGCTAGGTTCATAATGATTCCAGCACATGCGAGAACTAGAAAAACTGCAACTGTAGCCTTCCGCCACTATCTAGCCAAAGCACCAACAAGATAGTCCATGACAGCGAAAACGGAGACAAGATCATCAGAAAAAAAAGACAAGAACGAAACTGAAAACTTATTGGATTGTCGAAAAACTTCTGTTTTGAATAGGTAGAAGAGGTCAACTTTGGTTGACTTATTTTCTAAAAGATCATACCCTGGATGAAACAATACCGTCCTTAGATAGAAATTGATACCAATCTGCAGACTCTACAAAATACATTGTTGTATAATTTCTCCCTATTGCATTTCATGATCGTGGCGTAATGTAAGTGAAACCTCCCAATCTCTGACTAGTTGGCACAAATGTTCAGTATTTACTAACTTTCAGTCTGATCTCCTCTAAGAGCACTTGGCAACAGAAAATAAGATTAGAAAGATTACAGCAATACGAAAGACTTTGCAGAGTAAGTTTTTCAGGTACTTTTCCGTTATCCGGACCCATTTTTGCAAAGAAGGATATTGCTTCTATTCTTGTACCATATTTTGTTTCAGCTTCACGGGAAGGAGTGTCAACCTTTTGCCACGTGTCAAAAGAATTTGACATGTCATCTACATGTTTAACAGGTTTTACCAAAAGTTTGTGTTACCCTACCTAGCGATCAGTGGCGTACCCAGGATTTCGGCTCGGGGGGGGGGGGGTGGGCGACAAAATTTTTTTAAATGAAATGTCCCGAAATTTTTCCGAGCCCCTGACCCCAAAATTTCAAAAAAAGGGGGCGTGGCGCCAGCCACGCCCCGAAAATTTTTTTTATAAGCGTTAGCCACGCACTCCGAAAAAATTTTAGTGGTGCTTCTCAAAAATTTTTGCGGGTTCCCAACCCCTAAATTCTAGAAAAAGGGGGTGTGGCGTCGCCCCCGAAAAATTTTTTTTACAAGGCTAAATTGAATTTTTGATTTTTAAAAATTATTCTAATTATTTACAATTATAAACAAGTTACTTGCACATTTTATAACCCATATAAGTAACTTTCAAAAATTTCGCGACCCGTTCTCGGGCCCCCCCCCCCTTCTTAGGGCGCCCCCCCCCCCTCGGTACTCCACTGCTAGCGATGTAAGTTCAATCTGTTTTTTTTAGTTAATTTTGACCTCATTTCGATAAAACAGTTTCAAAGTGAACATTGTCATAATAATAACGACGTGCTTTCATCGATGAACAGATTATACTTGCTCAGGATAGAGAAGTATGCTAGGATTCCGTCATTTAAGAGCGAAATAAGCGACAGCAAAATACTTCAAGCTATCATTTGTAGTCTTTTCGGCTAAATTCGCATGGAGAAAAGGGTTTGAACAGAAATACGCTTTTGAATCACTAATGCAAGCAGGCAAGATGTTCTAGAATAAGTTCTTGATTGTTATGCTTATGTAAAACAGCTAAACAGCTTTAGAATGAACACAAATTCTCTTTTATCTCACCGGAAATGATTTCGAAAAAAACATGTCAAAGTCAACCAAAACGTGTCAATTTTTTCGTGACACGTGGCAAGGAGGCAGTCCTCGTAGCATCTATGGAAAATTATTCGTAGACAAAGAACGTGTAATATGAGAGCCTTTCGAAAAAATGAGTCCGGATAACGGAAAAGTGCCGTTTTTCAACCCCATACTTAGGTTCAAAAGTAATGCGCGTTTTTCTAGCCCTTGTTTCAGGACGATTTTTTCCATCAAGTTTTCTTCCCTGAAGATAAAACTTCGCATACTATCAAGAAGCTCTTTTCATGCTTTAAACGATGGTGATTGAAACGGGCTTCTAGCCTCATTTGAAATTTATAGAGCCTCACACAATTGCACTTGAAGCAGAATTTCATTGCATTTACTCTTCTCGCCAGAATTCAAGGGCAAATGAACGCATGCTTTTGAAATTTTAGCCACTGTATATAAGTCTACATTACGCACACTTTACTATTTTCATAGAAATTGTCTAAACTGAGATTTGCGTGGGCAGTCATTTTGGTCATTCTGTGTCCCATAAATTTCCTTTGAAGAAGGTAATCGCTAAAGCTTTGCTCATTTCTGTAAGCGTAAGGGTGGGCTCCTGATTGACAGTTTTTGCAAAAATGGTTAGCTGCTCAGTGCGCAAAAAATCAAAAAAAATCCATATTTTTGGACTCCGCCGAAAAAATGTTGAAAAAGGCGGACAGTTCTGGATTTTAATTTTTTCTTCCCTAAATCTTCTGTTTTGAGTCTTTTTCAACATTTATGCACCATTGGTTTGCGACACTTCAAGATTTGTTAGTATGCATTTTTCGTGCATACTAGCAAATTTTGAAGGGAGTTATGATCAGCTAAAAACGAGGTTTCTGAGAAAAAAAAATTTTTTTTCGCTTATCAGTCCATGTTTTTCTGCACATTTGTGATATGTGTGTAGGTGAAGATGCGCTGTATTGCAAGAGGTTTGCTGCCTCTGATGGTTCATATCGCATTGAAACATTGGAAAATGTAAATTTTCTAGAAAATCATAGCACGTCAAATTGAGAACCCGCAAAACGCGCAGTACTTTTGAAACTTAATATAAGCGACGACGGGGTGACGACAGAAGTGTTTGCGAATAAAAGGGCGTGGCGTTAAGCCTTCCGAAACATTTTTTGATGTGCTTATGTTTTTCGCGGCCATAACTGTAACCTTTGTGAAGGGGAGGCGCGGCAGGCTCTTCTCGAAATTTTTTTACAATTTGAATTTTTGATAATTCTAAGGAATATTTTGATCATTTACGAAATATTTACTTGCACACTTTCATAATCCACATAGACTACTTCCAATACTAATATAACCGTTTCCAAGGAGAGGGGGCGGAAATGGCGACCATTCCTCGATCTCCCCTGGAACCATCCCATTTTTAAACAATCTTTGGTAGTATTGTATGAACAGTCTAAGACGTGCTACGTACTTTGATACAGCACTCTATGCATTTCGAAGGACGTGCTAGCGGACCAGACTTATGCGGAACAGTGTTGAAGTCGAATGTCTCGTAATTTTTATGACGCACTGACTATCTTATTAATTGTAGGCATCTCCGTGATGACTATAGATGGCGCTGCGCATGCACTTCAAGCTAAAACTTTGCACGCTTATACTTTCGATCAACACAGGCACCTATCAGCGCTCGTAATGAATTGTAAAATGCTAGATAGCGTGATAAGACAATTTTCTGATAAACTTGCTGGTGTACTACTGCACTACTGTTCCGCGGAGAATGCGGTGGTCAGCGCTGTTGGCTTGCCTCGCGGTCATACCATATGAAACAGACGCAGTACCATTGTCTAAAGATGCTGATCTCATTGCCGACTTACCTGGATTGACTTTTACCCCCACATTCAAACAATATTCTGGATATCTATCGGGATCGCCTGGAAATCATCTGCATTACTGGTCAGGCTTTCGCATTCTTTTGTTGAATTTTGTAACTCTCTTCTGTCAAATGCTGGAGAGGATCACTCTTAATTTTGAGATGGAAGCTCTTGGCAGCATAACTGCTTTTCAAACATCCATTTGTATCTGAACATTTTTGGCAGCGTATTGTTTTGCAAGAAATCGCCGCTTTAGTGATTAACTTCATATAGATTCGTCACTCGTACTCTTATCTACCTTAGTCATTAAGGGTTTGAGTTGTCCAAGTTGTTTACCCGTTATCTGTTTCATATTGAGAGCATAGGCTCTTCGAAATTTATGGGCTTTGCAGATAAGCTAGGACTCTTCTTTTTTTCTTGAAAGTCTTTAGGATCTATGCTGTAGAGCTAGCCTAGTAGTTGCAGGATCACTCAGTTTCATACTCACTTCAGCTTTTGTGGACAGCATCGTTCCTAACATCCCACTGAAATACAAAATAGACAGGATACAAGATCTTGTTGCTCGCTAAAGTTGAAGTTAGTTTGCAGGACTGATCTGTGGGAACTTTGGGAAAGGGCTCATCCAGTTAGTGCTATGTGCATACAAGCACCACTATTTAGCAATTGACCAATTGTTCTATAACGGTGTTCCCTCCGCCAATAGTTCCATCAGCATGCTTTTTTTGAGAAAGTTCTGCAAATGCCTGTAATCAATGAAACAAGTGCCCCAGCTTTTTGTATATTGTTTTAGATTTTTTGCTGTCCAAGCATAGTCTTTTTTTCCAATTTGGGAATTACCTTCTCATTTTTGAAAGTCTGAAGTTCGGTATAACAATCACATTCCACAAAAGTCAATTTTCGGCAGATTCCGCCTCACGGAAAGTTTCAAAATCCTTGCTTTGTGCAGGATTACTTCAATTCGTTTCGACGAGTTGCAGTTGATTCTCTATATGGCCCCGTCTTAAATTTCAAGCTACACTTCATAAAGGGACAGTAGAATTCCTGCAAAAATCCAGAAATAGATTTTCATAGAGTTTTGCTCATATTTTACGCATTCTGAAGCATTTCCTACATTAAGGCTAGTAGAGGCTCAGTCTCAGCCACAGTGGGCTCCTTTGGTGTTATGGCTGAATGGTGGTCCCGGATGTTCGTCACTCAGTGGCTTTTTCACCGAGCATGGACCATTCCATCCAAGTTCTGATGGAATGTCATTAGTAGAGAATGTAAATTCATGGAATAAGGTGAACAGATACCGCATTTTCAAAAACTCTATTCGTCATCTGAATGCTCATTTAGGCCGCAAATGTGCTTTATCTCGAGTCACCCCATGATGTTGGATTCTCATATAGAGACTCCAAAACTTATCAGAGCGATAATTATTTCAATGATGATAAGGTATTGTCGATTCATAAAATATTGTGATGTATGAAAATTAAGTAAAACCTGCACTGTTTGCATAGACGGCAATGGACAATGCTCATGCTTTGCAAGATTTCTTCCAGAAATTTCCCGAGTACCAGAACAGGGACTTCTATATAACAGGTTTTCTTCACATACGCTGGAGGTAAATTCAAATCTGTTATTTAAGGAGAGTCGTACGGAGGTGTCTACGTTCCTACATTGACGTCCTTGGTGATACAAATGATCAAAGTAAGCTTTTGCCTTCTAGTCAGCAAACAGAGGTGGCGCTGACCAGAGAAGCTTTTGAGTCGTAGAAGGAAGACATGGATACAGTACTGCTCGTATTTTTACGAAAAAAAAACGGCCCACAGTCGCCCAATTCCTATGACATCACCGCAGCGTGGCATATCTCGCTTCAGAGTGGACGAATTCTTAATTCAAGGGCACCACTCAAATCAGGGCGCGACTCATCTTCTGATATATAGAAGTGTCCGCTTGCACACAGTAGAAGGTCACATTCACGGATCGCCTTAGATTTTTGCCTCGGTAGTGTGCTTATTTATTGCACTCACTGGGCAACCTACTGTAGGCAAGAAACTTAAACGATTCATGGAATCTGACCTCTACTGTGTCCGAGCGGACACTTCCATATACAAGAAGATGCGCCGTGCCGAGCTGAGTCGAATGGTGCCCTTGGATTGAGAATTCGTCCACTCTGAAGCGGGATACCACGCCACGGTGATGTCACATGAATCGGGCGACTGTGCGTCGTTTTTCCAAAAATACGAGCGGTATTGTAGAAGACACGCAGAGAGCAGAGAACGTAAAGGTCGATGCTCGTGCTCTCTCTCTCTGGCTCTTTATTAATCAAGTTAAAGAAAAATTCGATTTCATGTTATATATTGTAGAGTGGAACCCTTCCCAACGTTGAACTTGTTGGTATGGCAGTTGGAAACGGAATGCTTAGTCTGCAACAGCAGACCAACTCAGCAGTTGACCTTTTGTACTATCGAGGCATGATCGGAAAGCAGTACGTCCGGATCTTAATTCTACTTTCTTAGAGACTCACGTTCCTTCAGACAATTTGACTCTCTGAAAAGCTGCTGCTTGGATGATGACATTCAACCGCTCACATACTGTAATTTTTACCAATTTGTGCAGTCCGACGAATATGGTAACATTATGCCAAAAAACAGCAGCAATAGTCCGAAATTTACTGAATGTGGAGAAATGGTTACGAGTTTAGCTATGGATGACGTGTGGGCGACAGCGTGCGTGACCATTTGTTGCTAGGAAGTTCCATAATTATTTCGATTTTAGGAACGACGTGTATAACTCATATCAAGACTGCTACAACTTCACATCTTTGAGCTCTGGAGGCTTGCAGGTGCACCATTAAATCTTTCTATACAGTCTCAACTTAACCCCATTATCTTTTGAAAGCTGTGTTGTTTCTACTATGTGAAAATCACTGTCATAGAAGTTGTTTGGAATTTAATGAAGAAAAATTGTGACTTACCGAATACAGTGTCTCAAAAGTAAGCACACACTTTTGATTCGTTGATAACTTTCTTCCCATAAAGTTTTTTGCTTAGCACCAAGTTCGGTAGGGCAGGCTTCTACTCAGACATGCAGTATGGAGCGACCATTCATCGCTCTTCATTACTGTTGAAGTGCGGTAGAAACTTTGAAGAGGGTTTTGAGCCATGAATAGCTACATATTGCAACAGAATAGATACTCACCAAAAATTATTGTTAGGCTAAACCTGAGTCGCTTATTATAAATGTGGAAAACCACTTTACCTTAGAACATTTTTTAATAAGTTATGCCAGGTAAATCGCAACGTTTTTCCAGTATTCTACGAATGTTGATTTGACCATTCAATCATTTTAAAAACACACAAAACTTGTGTAAATCAGCATGTTTGAAAACACTGCTACACGTTCTCTAGATGGAACTTTTTCTTAAACGGCCCATTTCACTCACTGTATTCTGGAAGTTCTCATCGTAATCCAACCATAATGAAAAGATGAGTGATGTGCTCCATAGTGTAATTCTAAGTTAAAGCTTGCTGTACTGAATGATATTGAAGTTAAGCAAAAGACTTTCTAAAAAGAGAGTTACTAACGATCAAAAATTGTGTACTTATTTAGGAACACCCTATATTGCGCTAACAGCGAAGATAATAATTGCGGAAAAAGAAAACCAAATTACTAAATCAATAGTTGTCCTTAATTAGGGATCAGACAGGATACTTTAACAAAGTTTTACAACCTGTTTATCACCCATGTTCTTCTAAGACTATCTATCATCTCGTGAAGCTGATAGCGCAGCTTTACGACCTCTTATGAAACTTTTACGATGGCAAGGCAAACATTGCGAGGTTTTAAAGCTCGTCACCAGCTACGAATTATAGAAAGGCAGTTGCCTTGAATGCTGTTCCTTTCAAAATTAATATTAAGGGTGAAGCCGGTAGACGAACATGGAAGACGGTCATGGGATCAAATCGAATGCGACAAATCGTACAACAGAATGATGATTTGGCAGCCATATTCAGCACGGGGTCGAATCCATTCATCGATCAAGGAGTGAGAATACCTTTGATAAATTCAAAACAAGGATCCAAAAAAAGTCCCTCTCTCTTTAATTACTTTTTAAAAGCAGCAATTGGGCAAAATAGACCCTCACCATTTTTGATGATATCAGGTACTAGACCCCAACCAAGCGCTCCTTAGTTCCAACTGCACCCTCCAACTCATACGCTAACTCCTGAATACGCTCCCCAAGCCAACTAGTCTTACCCACTTCCATTGAGTGGGCGCCAATCGGGGGCTTTTGAATCACGTTTTGAAGACTTAGCGCCTGACTTGGGGGGGAGGGTGAAGTTGGGGTTATATAATTGAAGGGTCTGCTACATAGCACCACCAAAAGCTGGCAAGGATCTATTCGGGCCACTGCCTTTGTTGTCACCGATAAACCAGAATAGGCCTTTGTACTGCCTAATCACTTGGGAGGCGGCGTTGGCTACATTATGGTAAATAGTATGTGACCGGACCAGTTTTCTGTAATTCAACAGTACTGTGCTGTGAGAGCAAGGATTTTTCTAGAAGAATCTCTTAGTGCAGGTTCGGTTGCAGTGTGATACTCGCTAAGTGGCGGTGTAAAATGGCCTGCCATAGTAATTTCTGATTTTGAAGAACAAAGCTGATTTAGTCTCTTTTCAACGCCAATTCTACGGATGCGATGGGAGGATTTGCCTGCTATATGGATTCTGCTACACAAACTTATCTGAGTTTGCAACAAACTCGTAAGGCACTGCATATCCCGGATTTTGTACAGCCATGGGTTGACTGCAAGTGAGCATTTTTTGTTTTAAGTGTATAAGAATGAACACGCAAGAAGCGGAGATGCGTTGCGATTCATTGCGCAGTATTGTTTTGTTGCGAATGCCTCTGAGTCGCAAACATCCGCACGCAGTTAGGACGCACGCGGCCCCTGTGCGATGACCGCACCGCGTGCATTTCCTGCGTTGGTGGTAGCCTATCGTAAGCATTATGTTTAGCATGGATATCAACTCCAAGTACTACCATCAGCAAAATCACGATATGACACCGGTTTTTCAGAATATCATCGGCTCAGGTTGATACACACATATTTCGCGATGACAAATTTTGCTTACTATGCTGTTTTAAGGATATAAGCTGAAGATGCTCATATATAATGGCGATGTGGATATGGCTTGTAATTTCCTTGGTGATGAATGGTTCATCGAGAATTTGGCTAGTTTGTACAATGTAAGATTCCTTTATTCCTGTTACACATGACTCAAATCTATCCTAGTCTTCTAGTTCACAATCCTCTCGGATCGTTACGCATGGAATTACACCTGGGGTTCATTTCTGCCCCAACTCGGAGGTTATGTGAAGTCTTGGAACTATAATCAAATCTCACTAGATCTGCTGACTGTAAAGGTAAATGTTTGGTTATCGAGGCAGTTCAATCAAGTTTTTCTTCAAGGGAGGTGGTCATTTCGTTCCCACTGATAGACCCGGTCCAGCATTGCAAATGTTCTACAATTTCTTGTATACTGGAAACTACAATATCTCGATACCCTATTCGCTAAATCCGCAGCCGTTACTCCAACAATTTCTGGCCCCACCGCAGCCGTCATGTAAACTTTGTTTTTTTTTCTCCGAAACGGTACTGTTCAACTTCTTATTTTAGTTACAAGAAAACAGGCAGATCGGGTGTGGACGCTACCTGGAGTGACTTACGAGCTAAATTTCAAACAGTATTCTGGCTACCTCAACGGTGTTACGGGTAACTACTTGCACTACTGGTGAGGCTTAGCATTTCCGCGAAATTCATCCGTCTCGGACTGCACTACCTTACAGGCTGCTCGAGTCCCAAACTAATCCTCAAACTGATCCGCTTGTTCTTTGGCTGAATGGAGGCCCAGGATGTTCTTCACTGATGGGACTTCTCAGTGAACTCGGCCCATTCCATCCAAATCCGGATGGAATTACCCTTTTCGAAAATGTTTACTCATGGAACAAAGCTGCTAATATGTTATTTTTGGAATCACCACGAAATGTCGGCTTTTCCATTCAAAATTTGACCTTGAATCCGGATGATGTGTACAATGACGAAAAGGTATTTTCAAGCACAGGAGGAAAGACAAATTCACACGAAGGAATGTAGTTTACAATACTATTGAAATTAATCGTTCAGACCGCATATGACAGTATGCTGGCATTAAAGGACTTCCTTAATGTGTATCCCGAGTACAATGGCAGGCCGTTCTTCATTACAGGTTAGTATCACAGGAGTGGCTTCATTCCGCTAAAGTTTAACGGCATTTGAGTTTCTTGGCGAAGTTCCACTGATAATGGACTTTCGTAACTGAAAGAATGATTTCATGTAGACTAATTCACTAAAGAGAAATCCTCTGAAAAGAATTTGAAAGAGATTTTGCAGCCAACTGCAAAATCTAAGTAAGCAAATTGTTCGTTAGTAAACTTACTCCTTTGAAAAGCAACAACATAGTCCAGGGTGTAGCTATGTTATGCAAATCTCGTCCGATTTTAAACATTAGCCAGAACGTTGGTGGATCGAGAAGATCTTCTTGGTAGAATATCCAATAAAGCTGTTGAGATCCCAGTACCGTAGCTAAGATAATGTCACCTGAACGAATTGTGCTAGAAAATTGCCGAGAGGTTTGGTTTATGGTATCTTGCAGGTACAAAGGCTAAAAATTATTTGCTAGACATTTTTCTTGCCTCAAATAGCTTGTTTTCGAACTCCCAAGCTTTTAATTTGTCTGACATGACATCTTAAGTGGATATGAAGTTATTGTGACATCTACGCTTTCTTGGAAATCGAATGAGCTGCTTAATTTTGCATAGCTCTCACTTTGCGAGAAGTTCTTTGGTTTCATATAGTGCAGACCTTGCAAACTTTAGCGTTGGAGCGCAAACTCAAGTGTATTCGAGCGAGTACTCTCTAAAATGAGGACACTTACCTAAACTTGTGAAGAACACAGCTACTGTACTCTTGACCACTGTTGCCTGTATGTGTCTTTTGTACTTGGAGACGTACTGTAAAATCAACCGATTATGTAATAGTACGCATGTCACGCAGCATACCTTCAGAAAACACATATAGGCTAAAAGATATATGTAAATTACAACAGTTGGAAGAATAAAGGCACTCAAGCACATCACATAAAGTGTGTACATTTGCGCCGGAAATGGATTTACAAAGTGAAATGCCACACTTGAAAGGGCACCATTCTGCATCTGGTATCCTTTGAACTAAAATTGGCATTTGGTCATTGGTGAATTTCGAGTATCTCATGCAGCTTCTGTAAGGGTAAATTTTACCTGAATAGGGTAAACCATAGGAAGTGAGGCAATGATTGTTATAACCCATACAACAACCGTCAATCTTTGTACTCTCGGGTTTCGCCACAACTGCAACATTTGAAATCACGATGCTGTAGTAATGTACCTTTTGTTATGTTACCATCTTCTCATAGCTCGCTGTAAGGCGTGTTACAAGCGAAACTACATCAGCTCGTTCTTTTTTGAAGCTTTTGAATTTTTTTGAAGACAAAATTTTTCCTTCTGAAAAGAAATAGCTCACATGGCAATGCTCCATTGGCAGTCGAACAGCAGTAAGACGATTTAAGGCGAGGAATAGATGAATGACTATTGGAACATTCGAAATGCAAATGCCGCATATATTTACTATCTGTAAGAAATATATATGGCTGAAATCTGATACAACATCCCAAACGTTTTCGCCTTTCAAATTCTTGTAAAACAAACAAGAAATCAGCAAATGCTAGTCACTTTGCCACGGAAAATTTTTCATAGTTGTTCAAAGCACCCATCATTATGTATCTTTCGTCAGTAATTCTATCTCACCTTTGCTATCCACCATGCGTTACCGAGGTAAAATTTCGATGCTATTCCGAGCCATGCTGGCTCTTGCAAAAGTATATATCCTGTAGCACTGATCAAGTCGGAAATTCCTGTAACTAATTATTAATCCAATTCTTTCCAGCGTCTGGGTGAAAACTTCTTGATCTTGACTCAAACCAGCTGCTCATAGCTTCGTTATTAGTTGAAATTGTATCAGCGCCTATGATTTTCTAGGAATTCCTAGGGAAGCAGTTGGCAATTAAGTCAGAGATCGAAAAGCACAAGTCGAAGATTTAAAATCTCACCTACGCTTAGTAATAAATGATGAAAAGGAGTTCCAAGTGCGCTTGTAGTTCGATTTCGAAGCAATGATATGACAAATATCACATGAACTGGATATGTAACAAGAACAAGACAGTTGAAAAATATCATCAACGGAAGAGCGAATTGCACTTGAGTCATTCGGCAGCCTTAAAGAAATTTTTGTTATTCTATGAACATATATTGAGGGAGTGTTAAATTGGCGAATAGAGCTTGCAGATGAGATTATGTGAGGTGCAGTATGGAAGAATCTGTGAAGAGTGCATTTTTTGTTCGGAAAAAAAGTCATTTTACTTGAAATATTTTCAAATATTTACTCTAGCCAGATTCTAGTTATTACAAATAGCATATTTTTTGTTTGCACTTTATGTTTTGATTCAATTCGAACGTATTTTTTCTTTTATCGACCAAATGCCCGATACCTTCTTCTTGATAGCAATACATCGAGTTAAATTGATGATGCGTTGGCAATGGAGCAATGGATGCTTGTCTCTGAAATCTACATCTTTGTGTGTGACTATAATACAAAAGATTTGTGGGGACGGGGAAGGGGGGGGGGGGGTCGGTAACCTAGGGGTACAGGGATAGCTGACAAACATTCAGGTCTGTGTAAAATGCGCCACGGAAGTTCTCATCTATTGCTTGAAAAAACTAAAATAAGAGTACAGAATAGTTTTGGCTGCATTGCAAAATAATTAACGAAGTTTCACAGGACCGCAAATATTACGCATTCAAATTTCGCGCCAGTACCGTATGAGAGAGACGATACTGTATAACATGATAAGCCCCTCCAGTTACTGATGTGAAATTTTTGAGATAAATGCAGCAGATATAAATATTTGGCGCAGTTCCAGCAGGAACAGACTGGAGAAGAGCCAGTATACCCACTGACAACGAGCAAAAAATGTCTTGCTAGTGATTGTCTGCGATTTTTGAATGAATTACTTCAGGCATTGGTTATCGAAGCGTTCGATGTGCGAAATGTGCACACAGATGCGTAGGCATCACTCGTAAACATAGACTTCCTAATTTGCAGTTCGAGATGAACTAAGCACCGTTGTTTTGCTTGTCTTACATACGATTTTGGCTCTTAACTTGCAAAAGTAAATCACTTTTTTTGATACAAGACGTTTGAAGTTTACAATATGTAACTATGAAGAAAGGGTATCAAAACTTTTATGATACGTGAAGTTTTTAACGCAATAATGAAGCGCGATCGAGTACTTTGGCGCATGAGATAGTATAAACTCAACTGTTTCTGCAAAAGTAATATGTAGGATGCGCACGAAATTCATCAGAACATCCTACTGATCTGGGACTCAATTTCATCGCTCGCAAGATAATTAACTAGACTGGCAGTGCGTACTCATTGTTTGTATAGGATTTCGATATCAAATGGCAGAAAAATATGTGTGAGTAAAATTTGCATGTTTATGGTTTCGAAAATTGATGAGCTACAGAAAACTTGGATTTGAAAGGTTAGGAAACCTTCAGAATTTGGCCATTTGTGCACATTGGAACCTCTCAAACCCACGTTGTGTTAGCCCTAGAGCTTTATAGTCCACGAAAATTGTTGTTTTTCTACGGATTTGCAGTATTGAATAGCAGATTCAGTACTCAAGCTAAAGATGGCAAGTTCGAACGATAATCGTTGATCACTTGAAAATTTCAACCAGTCCCAGAGTTTCTTTCGACTTAAAGCGCTCCAGTGCCAAGGTTAGCTTGCGCGCGGGACGGGAGGACTATATGTCGCCGAAAGGAGATGCAACAGACTGCGCAGCTATACATGTTACAGACAATGCAGATATGTACCAGCTGTCCGCACGGGGGGGAGCTTATCGGCGACCTATGGTCTTCTGCGCTGACGCGCGTAGTATAGCCAAACGTGAAAGGTACTGCATGAATAATCATGCAATCTCTCCTTCAGACAATCAGTTTTGTTTAGCAGAAACATTTTTTGTCAATGGTCCATTCATGCAAAGCTCATTACAGGCGAGTCTTACGGAGGTGTCTACGTACCCACGCTAACTTCACTTTTGATAGACAACATCAAGGTGTGTTTGTTTTCATAATAGTAAGAAAAAGCACTTAGAATTTCAAGCTGCATGTTAAATGTGAGTTTTGAATAGATAGTAATTGCTGTGTGCGAAAATAATGTCAGTGTGAAAAGTTAGATCGAATAACAATATCAATTGTACGGTTGTAGTGTGAGAAAAATTGTTAAATATATCATTATAAAAAATCTTCTCGTTATGATTGCTGGTTGGCATTTCAAGTTGCAAGTGTATATTTTAGAAATTGTTTTAGATAAAAAAATATAGGTGAAACCTAAAACGGGAACTTGAAAGAGCTCTGAAATTGTGTCTGCTTAGTTTTTTTTTTGCAATGAACAGTCTCCACACAGCAGCTCCAGAGATTATATGATATACAAAATTTTAGACATATTACTATATTGGTCATGTTAATTGGTTATGTTAACAATATTGTAGAATGAATTCCGAGGATTCACTAAGTTGGAATAGAAAAATATGCTATATTTTAGATTTTCCGAAACAAAAGAATTGGTTTGATTAACAAGTATAGAAAAGCAAGTGTTCATTAGCAGCGAGATGGTGCAAGTGATCTGTGAGAAAATAAACACGAATGAATCAATTAGACGAGCTTAAGTATGACCTACTACTTCTAAAGCATGCCAATAAGGGCAATAGTAACCAGATGAAGGAGAAATAATATGTCGTCTTGAGGCGCCAGGTGAAAACGGGCGGGGTTAAATATAATTAACGCTTGGGAACACTTCATTGAGCTTTTCGAGTCGTGTCATCCAACAAAGATGTCAGAACCGTATGATTAAATCATGTCTAATCTAACTAATAAAGTAATGCAGAGAAAGCTGATAATTTAGGGCAGAAAGAGACGAGAAAAGAGGGGGGGGGGGGGGAGGAGAAAAACTGCAGTTTTTTTGCGCTTTTTATACGCTTTTCTTCGATGTGCATCGCGCGAATAAGCCAAAAGAGCTTCTTTTTATTTTATTGCTACGAAATTTTACAATCGTCTATAGTATACCTGAACTCATTATTGTACGGAATTCTGCTATCAATCAATGTGAGAAAAAATTTTTTGATACAAATCCGTATAGCCGGAGCTCTATGCGTAAATAATGAACTGGCTTGATCACTCGAATTTTTTATATATTCTACACATTGAATCAAGCATGCTACGAATAGTATTGACGAGAAACTAACCAAGTGTTCCTAATTATTTGTCCGAGGCTAAAGAGGCTAATCATACAGTTACTCATTCGAGCCAAAGCTATATCCTCTATGAAAATTGCTATCTCCGAAACTGAAGAAAAATGTTTGAAAACATCTCTAGTTTTGACACATTTTTCTCTTATAATTTAGGCTGGCAACCTCCCAGGTTTGAATTTGGTTGGTATGGCTGTGGGAAATGGAGAGTTATCGGCAATACAGCAGCTGAATTCCATCATTCATATGGCTTACTTTCATGGGCTTTATGGAAAACAGTAAGGAACAACATAGTTTGGTCATATGTGAGGCGAAATTAAAAATAACACAAGAATAATTTCAGAAATTAGGTTGTAAACTGCTTATGCTAAAGAGAGCTGTTACTTGGATAGCAGTAACATGACCGTTCCAGTAAAATCACCTTAGCAATGGTCATTTTAGTGAAAAATAATTTCTTTTTTTCTGACTAAAGGCTAATGTGAAAATGTCTTTTGCTATAAAGTTCGCATAGTAATGAGTTTGGCTGTTACAGAAAGAATTTTGCATTCCACAGTTCACAATTTACATTTTCAGAGAATGGGATTCTCTCCAACAGTGCTGTCCCCAGACAAACTCTTCGACATGGTTTGAATATTGTGACTTTTCACAATTCATCACCTTTGATAGCGCTGGAAATGCAATTGCGAAAACAGGCACAGGTGTCTGTGGTACATTGGTGGCCCAAATGGGACAAACGGATATCTGGAACTCATTGTAGGTTTGACAGATGACTAAACTCACTCAAATTTCTGTTTTCAATTATCCCACACGTATAGTCGCCAAATAGTTTACATTGCTATAGAAAGTGATCCATGTAGAATGATCAGATCATTTCCTTGAGTAGAGGATGAATTTAGTAGGCAGTTACTGGAGCTTCAATTGCATAGTTACTCAAGCAAAACATTTACTGTTGAATTACTCACCATTTTGAGTTACACGCTAGTGCACAAGCGAGGAAAAGAACAAAATTGAGAGAGGGCTTAAATTGGCGGAGATCTGATAGCGCTACTGAAGTTCGCTTTTGGATGCCCTATAGGTTGTGTTGTGCCATAGCTATCCGCTCAGATATTTATCCATTTCTGATGCCTTTGGTCTCGAATGACACCTCTTGGACCATTAATAAATAATCCAGTAATAAAGGAGATTATCGAGTTAATCATAATGTAGTGCTTCATTTCCTGATTGAATCACATAGATTGGGGAAGGGGGGTCGCCAACTTCGCTGGGAGTAGGTCTCTCGGATAAATAAGTGCTATGGGCTTTTGGAAGAACTTAGTGGAAATGATTCATAAAAATTGCCTATTTTTAGTTATTTCGTTGAAATTCTGGGCATGTGATAGGTGAAGTGGTGTAAAATATCTTGAACAAAAATTCTGTTTTATCTCACCACGAAATTTGATAGCGAAAGAGAACCATACTTGAGCGAAAATTTGCACAGACTAATTCAATCTCGCAAGTCCTATGAGCAATAGAGCAGAAAATAGTATGACGTCTGATCTACAGAGCAGATTTCTGTAACAAATCTGATTGTCTGGAGAGATGGGCTGGATAGGAAGAGGCCAGAATATTTTGTCTACAAGCCTCACTAAAGAATGAAATGCATTTGTGTCTTACACACATTCAGGATGGTATATATATTACGAATATTAGTCTCTCTAAAGGAATGAAATACAATAAAAATCAAATAATGTAACGTGATTGATATGGCATGCCGAATCTCAACTTTTTAGATTTGTTATGAGGTTTTCTTTTTGATCTCTTTAGTCTGCTAACGTCAATAAAATTCTTATCCCAAGTGCGGTTGGCCTCAATGAAAAGATCTCACGCCAGTTGTCAAATCTTTAGTAAAGTATAACGCATTCTCTCACTTCATTGTTTTGAAGCTGTTGGCTACTTCTCACAGCTGCATAGCAGACTTATTCTATTGAGCATTTCTGAATATTAGGCACTAGTCTATCAAGTTTTTACTATAAATTATTGCTTTAACATATGCTCAATACTTAAAAATCAACCAAAATGTCTGAACCAACAACATATTGTTTTTGTTCAATGGAAATCTTTAGGCCATACATTCATTTTTTTAGAAATGATGTCTACAACATCTACCAGGACTGCTACCAACAAAGCAGCAAAGTATTCGGCAGTGGAATGAAGCCAAAGCACCGACAAGGAATTATTGAGTATTTTGTCGACCAAGGGGTAGCGAGCATCATCTTTCTCTAATAATAAAGTAAAGCAACTCACTTCAGGAGCAAATCTCCACGTACTCGACCGACAGCCAAGGAGGATTCCAATGTTATGCTTCAGATGCTGCAGCTGTTTACCTCAATCAACAGGTATTACCTCGGGAATAGACAGCAATGCAATTGCCAGCTAAGCGGCTATGCTTAGATTTAAACCCTAGCTAATTTGATATACCGTATCAGATTACGGTGCTTTAGTCAGTCACGTTGAGATCGGCGCAAATTGTACAGTTTGCTTCCTGGTCTTATTTTCCAATTAATATTAGGCAAATGCACCTGTTGCTAAGAAAAGGTAGCAGTTCCTTGTGTTAAAAGTTAATATTTCGTTCAGACGTGTATATTCTTGAAATAGAGAATTTTGCGCTATTTTTTTTGGGGGGGGGGGGGGGGGAATCATCGTGCATCTAAATTAAACTAGATGGACAAGCTTTTGGAATATGAGCTTGGACTAGAATGCAGTTTAAAGCACCGAAAAGAGAAGTTATAGAAGCTCTCGAAATTTGCCATTTGAAAGCACTCCTTATAACGTATTTAATGTAGTGCCATATGTTGGATGTTCTACCAGAAAAACACCTATTTTATCATGAAAACTATTGAGGAAACCTATAAAAATTCCAAAAGTTGAATGTTTGCGAATTATTGCGCAATCGTTTTTTGGGGTGTATGTTAAAAGACGCTTTTTTTTGATTGCCAAATGGACTCCCATTAGCGCATTTTTAGTGTTTAATAACGCTCTAGAAGCCTCTTAATATTTGACGAAATATAGAAGATCATGGCATTGGCTGTTTAATCTTATAGAAATAGATCCAAAACATAAATGTTGGAGGTCAAAAACCCATAAAAATGTTTGGACCACTTTTTCACCAAAAGCCTCCAAACTTACGAAGTGGTAACTTCATACTGTAAGGTGTTAAGCTAGGAAACTTTTTTATAGTTCGGGGTTTTTGTCGATGCGACATGTAAGAAATCTCGTCAATCTCACTCCATCCCCCGCTCATGGACCAGACGGCAACCTCTGCGTGTTCTTTGATGCGCCTCTACGGCACCAAACAGGAAATACAGGAAATGAGCTCACTTAGTCTTGGGCCGGTATAAAAACGGAAGTCCGGAGGTCAGGGACCTAGACGTGCTGCAAGTTTCGCATAGTCAATGAACGGACCGCTGGTTTTGTGTTTTTCCTTTTTGATGAATGTTTTTGGTGAGTAGAATGTCTTTGAAGTCTGATGTCTCACAACATGGTAAATGCAGATAAGTGGAGGAAGCGTTTTGTCTATCCAAGACTCAGGCGACCTAGTTCCACTGATGTTTACGTAAACTAGTGCAACATGTCAGATTCCAATTTTGCCAAAATACGCTCGGAATGTTCTTAGATTTATGAGTGAGATGCTATGCTGCAATTATTGGGAATAGCGTATGCAAAGTGGATAAGCTAATCTTTGAGCGAAAAATATCAAAATGTTTTTCTTAGATAATATCCGCACACTGGTATCTCCCGACACGACTGTTTTTACAAGACCTGTAGGCGGTAGATGATCCTGATACCGGAAGCTTAGTGGGACTTACGAGATTACCATGCTGAAGGATCTCAACGATACTGCTGCTAAAGTTGTAATGCCATTCGCATGTTTTTTCAAGTTGCGAAATATGATGAACACCTTTAATGTAGCTGGACAGTGAAAAAATCGCATCATTATTCTATAGTAATAGGTTTGACTTTTGTCAAGAACGTGCGGTTACAGTGTAACCGATTACTTTCATAGGGTGTCTACCGTATATCTACTATATCAGGGATTACGGTACGTCGCAAAGTCCTCGAAAATTTGCTCTAGTCATCAGAAGGTATATAAATGTTTGAAGGATGTTGGATTGATGCAGGCATGTCTCATAGAAGAAAATAAAGAATTAGTATAAGTTTACATCCTCTCGCATAACATAAGCGACAAATTTTGCACGCTAAGGTTACACAAATCTTCTTTTTTCCTTCAAAAGCGCCCTGGTGTCAAGCGAACAGTTGCAGCACTGCTCTTTATCTAACCGTACACTTTCAGATGTCATGAATCGCATCAAAATTAGACGCCTTGGCTGGATGTCTAGCTTTTTCCTTACTCATTTAACTGAATAAAACCTACCTTACGTAGCAGATCACGAATCTCCTGAATTTGCAAGCTTGAGTGCGCAGAATGGAAGAGAAGCGGATGTTTGTCGCTTGTTTTGATCACCTAGACTGATTACGCGCGCGATACTAATCCAACCGTATTAGGGCGAGGCAGTTCTTATTGGGCGTAGGCCTTTTCTCAATTGAAGAGATCGGAGATGAGCTCAAAAGCTTTATTTGGAACGGTTTTTCTCGAAAAGAGAGGTCGCAATCACCTGCGAAATGAAAAACAGAATGGAAAACAACAACAGGGAAAAATTCCAAGAAGCCATAGCGAATTCTAGGTAAAAATCAAAGAGGGTACTGTATCTCTGCCGCAGTTCAAGGTCAACATTAATTGTCTTCTTGCTTCTTCTTAGTGCAGAGGAGCAATCGAAAGGATTTCAATTGAGAAAAAAGACCATTTGAAACGTCTTCAACATTGTCGATTTTCTGACGCAGACAAAGTGAGGAGTGCAGTCGCTGCTGCGGTGCGGTCACAGCTTATTCGCCTTCAAAAAAAAAACGCCCGTTAAAGGCAGTTATGCCATTGCAACTTTTTGTATTATCTTCATCGAAGAATCAAGTATCTGGTGCTCTGAAAGACACAATAGTTTAATTTTGGCGGCAGTTGAACTGTGACAAATTACAATTACGATAATATCTTTTCAGGATGTACGAACCGCACTGCACATTGCATCTACAGCCGGGAACTGGTCATCATGCAAGTAAGATTATAACAGCAATTTTTTGTCAGAAATTAGTCTGATTTTCCAGCGATGATATGAATGAGCACTATGTACAGCAGCATAATGATACTGGCAAGGTGTTCGACCACATAGTGCAGTGAGTTGTCAACAAGATCGTTTGAATATTCTTTAAAAAGAAATTTGTATCAGGTCCGGGTATCCGCTACGAGTCCTCATCTACAACGGCGATGTGGACCAGGCTTGCAACTTTTTGGGGGACCAATGGTTTGTCGAAGCATTGGCAGCGAGATGGAATATGACAGTTTCTCAGGATTTCAAAAGCTGGTGGTACGTGGTGAAAGAGAAAAAAAAGTATCGGAATAGAGTTTAAGTTACTGGTTAGTAGTTACATACTTTGGCACATAAAGCATTTCGCAAGATTTGAACGCATATTATGGCATGTACTTCTCATCCCAGAATGGCTGCCAGTTTGCATAGAAAATAACATTTTTTAACTAAGCCTCAGCATAGCTGATTATCATCCTTCTAATCTTCTCAATGACTTTTTTAATCAGAGAAATTTATGGGGAAGAACAAATTTTATCCAAGCTTTACAGGTACCGTACTCAAATCGCAGGATACATGAAGAAATTCACTCGTGGACCTATCTCTATAGATCTCCTCACGGTCAAGGTGAATGACATTAACTTACCGAAAAAAGAACTGGAAGAATGAAGCAGCTGAATATTAGCTCACGTCTTATTCGTAGAGGCTGGATAAATATCCGAGCAGCACCGATTATGTCTCCCCAAGGTCTCGTTTACCAGAGCAGTGCATAAAATTGATGATTTGCAAAGAACCAAACATCCCATGAAGTACGGATAGCAGCAATTACGGCTATTTCAGGGAGCGGGTCATTTGGTGCCATCAGACCGCCCTGGTCCAGCTCTGCAAATGTTTGAGAACTTTTTACGTGAGGAAGACTATAGCAAGCAATTGCCTTTCAACTTTGAGCTACATTCGCTTAAGAAGGACTATCAAAATCAGGTTATGGTGAGCAAGTTCTTGTATTAGTGTAGTAAAAAAGTGTAAATGTTTTCAGAGCTCTGCAAAGAAGAAGGAAGAGCGCGTTGGTCGTTCAACAAGGGCGCACAAATTAAGCTCCAGACGAAAGGATAAAAACAAATCTGCTGCGGTAGGAAGTATATTCATCTTAGATCAGTACATTTATTATCCATGAATAGGGAAATAATACAGTATTTAACTGTTTCACCCAACTTTAGAGATTTACAGAAAATTTGAAATTGCATTTTATTTTCTGATTCAGTCGCGCCCGCTTCGCATATCTACTCCCGCTGGACCACCAAATATTGGCACAAAAGAACAGGATCTTGTCGAAAAGGGTGCTTTGCCTGGTCTTACTTGGGAGCTCAACTTTAAACATTATTCTGGCTATTTGGCCGCTAGTCCTGGAAACTATTTGCACTATTGGTGAGTGAAGGGGGGGGGGGGGAAGAAGCAGTACCTAGGTTCTGGTAATAAGAGGACGTATTCTCCGATTATTTTAATCTATATATTTTCGAAGCGAAAATCTCTTTTAGGTTGACGGAATCACAAAATTCACCAGCAAATGATCCGTTGATTCTTTGGCTCAATGGTGGCCCTGGATGCTCCTCCCTAGGTGGTCTTTTTGAGGAACTCGGTCCATTCCATGTCAATCCTGATGGCTCAACCTTGTTCGAAAACGTTTTCTCATGGAACAAAGTAGGATACTTTTTGAGATAACCCCACTTTTGATTTACCACTTTTCCAGGTCGGAAATGTTCTTTTCTTGGAAGCTCCTCGTGACGTTGGATTCTCCTACAGAAGTAGCGATGCCGAATCCGATTCTACATATAACGATGACTATGTAGGCTTCTTAGATATGCTAAATTTACTATATCGTTCTATCGAGCTTTTAGACTGCTGACGATAATGTTCTTGCTCTGGCGTCGTTCTTCGAAAAGTTTCCTGAATACAAAAAGCGTCCATTTTATATTTCCGGTATGACGCACATATACTGAGGGGCTAAAGAGTTGATTTGAGGCGCAACGTTTTACAGGCGAGTCTTATGGAGGTGTCTATGTGCCAACGTTGACAAACGCTCTGATCAAGAAAATCCAGGTAAAGTAAAGCTCATCAGAAAAGCGTATACAGAGTATCCCAATGCGGAACGGAACTTACCAGTGGCGTACCGAGGGGGGGGGGCGGGGGGGGCGCGCGCCCCCCCCGAGAACGGGTCGCGAAATTTTTGAAAGTTACTTACATGCGTTATAAAAATGTGCAAATGACTTGTTTATTTTTGTAAACAATTAAAATAATTTTTTAAATTTTTTAAAAATTCAAATTAGCCTTATAAAAAAATTTTTTTCGGGGGCGTGGCTGACGCCACGCCCCCTTTTTCCAGATTTTAGAGGTTGGGGGCCCGCAGAATTGTTGCGAAGCCCCCCTAAAATTTTTTCGGAGTGCGTGGCTAACGCCACGCACCTTCATTTAGAAATTTTTTTTGCCGCGCCCCCCCCGAGCCGAAATCCTGGGTACGCCACTGGAACTTACATATCCGATTCTGAAAAGTTGTGTGCTAGACTTCATTTGTTTGTTTTCTATCTAGCTTTTGAAATGTTTTTGAGTTTTTAAAATGTCATAGTCGCATTTTTCAAGACTATTAAGGTTGTTAGGTATGCTTGTCAACTTACGAAAGAGGCATTACGGCAAAGTGCAAACTTTGTATTTGGAAATGGCGACTCTAATTAGCCTAGTTTAAGAATTTTCAGGTTTCTTGATTAGCGTCCTGGCCCAGAAAAGCGGTTTCTGCAGCTACTCAAAGCTCTTACAGTCATCGTAGAGTAAGGAAGAGCGACTAATGATTCATTTTATGCGTTTAACCTCTTTTGAAGTTACTTCTAGAATAAGGTGCTCAAATGACCGCGAAAACCTTCCATACAAGATTAGTCAAACGTTCGATACATTCTTTTTTCGACATCCTATAAAATACTGCCATTGCCACTGCCAAGAAGATGCGTTTTTTCGAAAAAAAAAACGCGTTTTCATCGTCGCTTCTGTGAAACATTCTTTGAAGTTTATATATTCTAGACTAGAGAAAGTTTAGTACTGACGGTTACAGGTATCTTGTTTCACTATTGTATCTTAGTGCTTGGAGGGAATACGGCAGGAGGTGGACTGGCACATTGCAGCAAACAGATGCAACCACAGTAAATTAGCTACGATGTGACAATCAACCTACTGTCGTATACCCATCGTATTCCGACAGATTGTTAGTACTAATATAGTATATTAGCAGTGGCGTATTGTGGGAACCCCCCCCCCCTCGGGAATTGGTCGCGAAAGTTTTGAAAGATACTTAAATGTGTTATAAAAAGGTGCAAGCACCTTGTTTTTACTTCTAATAATTAAAATAATTTTTTAAATATTTTCAGAAGTTCAAATCAGCCTTGCAAAAAAAACTTTTTTTGGGGGTGACTGCCGTCATGCCTTTTTCAAAATTTCGAGGTCATTTCGAGATTTGGGAAGCATCCCAAAAAAATTTGCGAAGTGCGTAGGTAACGCTACGCACCTTCATCCGAAAATTTTCGTCACCCTTCCCCCCCCCCCCCCTCCGAACGGATGTCCTGGTTGCCACTGCTGTGTAGAAGCCTACTAAGCTACAGATATAACCAATTCCGCAATTTCAGTCTAACGGTAACGACTCTATGTCATATGTGAATCTGAAAGGAGTAGCGATAGGAAATGGTGAGATGAGTCAGATTCAACAAATTAACTCAGCTGTATCATTGCTGTACTTCCGTGGAGAGCATGGGAAAAGGTAAACTTCGGCATGAAATTTCTTTTGCACTGCAAATTTCCTAACCTTTGGATTACAGTGACTACGATGCGTTATCGCAGTGTTGCGACTCAAGTAAACCTCAAACTTACTGCGATTTTGTCTCTTACATAACTCTCGACTCAGCCGGCAATGCTTGGCCAAAGGTGGGCATTAACAATAACTTTTACAGTTCTCCTTGTCATCTAATTGATTTAGGTTAATGACAATTCCATAGCTGGTCAGTGTGGAAGAATGGTCGTACAGCAGGGCTTCGTCGATGTTTGGGAAACAGCGTACGTTACTTCCACTTTTGAATTAGCTCAAAGTATATTTATTGATCACATACAGGAATGACGTATATAACACCTTCCAAGACTGTTACTCGACAGCTTCTGATGGTACAAGATTCCGTCGCAAGAGAAGTGCTGACAAGCAGCCTTTAGTGAACACTAAACCATTTGTGGACCAAGCTGTATGCTCGCTTTGACACTAGCAGACCACAGTTTTGGGATAATCAAAAGTATTCAAGGGAAAGATTAACTATCAATCCACGGATGCGAATGGTGGATTTGCTTGCTTTAACGGAGATGCCACTGAGGCTTATTTGAATCTAAGAGAAGTACGAAATGCTACCCATATTCCAGCTGGCGTTCCATATTGGACCGATTGCAAGTGAGAATCACCACTGCTCATTTTTTGAAAATTGTTTCTGGGTAGACGGGGAAGGGGGGGGGGAGGAGCGGATTTTCTAAGTAGAAATGAGGGAGTGTGTCATTAACATGCCCTTTGCAGAATGTTTGGCGAGCTCTCTCAGACATTTTGGGAGCGGAGTTTCACACCATTGCTTCATAGATATCAACCCTTAAAAAAGGGCACACCTTGGTTCGCCACATAAAATTGAAAAATATGCGTCGGGGTCCAACAGAATCAAGAGTTATTCCCCAATTTGCTCGTGCCCCGCCTTTTTTTTGGCATGACACCTACACTCCATTGCTCGCAAAACTGGTTTTCATTTCTTTCTCTTCTGAAATTTACAAACACGTTACCAAATAAAACATTTAGTGATGATATGAACGAACACTATATCCAAGAATATAATGATACAACAGCTGTCTTTGATGATATCTTAAAAAGCGGTATGTTAAACCTTTAGATGTCCTAAACATGCTATATACTTTCGTAAACTTAGGTTATCCTCTCCGATTTCTGATTTATAATGGAGACGCAGACATGGCTTGCCAATTTTTGGGAGACGAATGGTTTATCGAGAATCTGGCTGCTAATCATAATATGACTTCATATGAGAGAACACCATGGAATTACACGCAGGGAAGGTGAGAATGAGAGATTTTCTTTTCCTTAAATGTACCTAGAGTGTTTTTGTGCTTTCAGCTTTTTGCCAAGGATAGGAGGCTATGTAAAGTCATTCAATAATAGCAATGTGCAGTTTGACTTGCTGACTGTAAAGGTACAGTAAACAAGTAGCTTACAACATCTTCTTATATCAAACTTTAGGGAGGTGGCCACTTTGTGCCAACGGATCGACCTGGCCCAGCCCTGCAGATGATCTATAATTTTGTGAATAAGCTCGACTATAGTACAAACTTGACCCTTCCGTTGACTCGTCAGCCACTTTTAAATCAATATAAGCCTAGTGTAATGACAAGTAGGTTTTATTCTAACTTATCTTGCTCATATGCACACGGCTGTCAAAAGCTTTCGAAATAAATTTCAGCTCCAAGAGTAGAAGCCGACAGGGTATATGAATTGCCTGGACTTACTTTTGAACCAAACTTTCACTCACACTCTGGATATCTTAGTGCTAGCAGTGGCAGTTATCTTCATTACTGGTTTGTTGCAAAATTTTGCCCATACTTCTAGGTAAAATAAATTTCTAGGCTGGTTGAATCACAGAACAATCCGCAAACAGATCCACTGGTGCTATGGCTCACCGGTGGACCGGGATGCTCTTCACTCGGAGCTCTTTTGACAGAAAATGGTCCATTCCATCCTAACCCTGATGGATCAACATTGTTTGAGAATGTTTATTCGTGGAATAAGGTAACGAGATTAATTTACCAAAAAGTCAAAACGAAATTGCTAAAAAAATCAAATCGAGTGGCGATCGAAAATCCTTGCATGTTGGTTTTATGACTATAAATTTGAAAAGTGACTGCAAAAAGGTTTTATACTCATCTAAAATTGCAAGATAACTATATGTCTGCGTATGTTTCTCAGAGTCACTCTATCATTTTGTATCTCAGTTTTTGTCAAGTCGTTTACAACCCAAAAATGAAAGAAATATGATTTTTGATATTTAAAGAAACCAGCAAATTATCAGGGCGCTAATGTTCTATACCTTGAATCTCCGCGATTGGTCGGTTTTTCGTATCAGGATCCGTCCGTAACCAACGATACTGTATGGAATGATGATAAGGTCTTGTTTCCATTCTTCGCGCTTCTCTTCCCTTCGCAAATGTATTTACAGACTGCCTCCGATATCTACTTGGCTTTGAAAGACTTCTTCACCGTTTATCCTGACTTCGCTAGGAATGACTTTTTTGTAACCGGGGAATCTTACGGTGGCGTGTATGTGCCAACGCTCACTCGGTATCTGATAGAACAGATTCAAGTTAGTAACCAAAAGATGAAATTTCGATGTTTACACATAAATCTTGGTTTAGGGTGGCAACATCACCCTCAACTTGGTTGGCATGTCAATTGGAAATGGCATGTTGAGTACTATTCAGGATGTAAGTGAGACTTGAATCTTCATCATCACGGATTGATTTTTCATTGAATTCAAGATCCGCTCCCTCCCCGACTTCATGTATTTCCACGGTATCTATGGGAAAAGGTAGGTTCCTCCATTTTCAAATGAAAACCTATAATTTGTTGAGTATGCTAGGGCATAATTTGCGGCCGCTGCAGGCGCAACACCAGCTTACAGGATGTTTTGCTTTTTTACGCAACTCAGAGGCATCTTAACCGCGGAGCTGCACTGATGCGACTTACACGTGATCTGCGTCGCGAAATAGATAAAAATAATCCAAAGTGGCATCAAATGTTTTCTTAAGCGATTGGGACAAACTCCATAATTGCTGTCCAGCTTCAACCGGCAATACATCGCTAACATACTGTAATTATGACTACTTCGTCACTGTCGATCAGTCTGGTACGTTACATTTTATGTGCAGACAGCATTTACTCTTATCGTAAACGCTCAAGGTAACATCCTTCCCAAGAAGTTCTCTAGTCCTTCTGATCAGAACTGCGCCAATATGGTGGCCGACCTGGCCTTCAACAGGATTTGGAACACAGAGTAGGTTTAATGAGTCAACAAACAGATTGCTCAAGATCTGTATCTTCAGAAACTACGTCTACAATCTCTACCAAGACTGTTACACTCAAACAACGGCCATGTTTGGTTCGGCTGCTGACTTGAAACCGAAAGTTCATCATGATGGACCAGCTCGTTTCGCTCATACGTTTGCTGAGCAAATGGCAAGTTTTACAGCAAACCCATAGATAGTGTCCGCCGTCCTCGCAAGTCGTTTTTTCACGAATTTGGAGCGCGACTAGATTGTTCTTAAAAGCTGCATGTCCTTACCTGACTGAAAAACACTTTGATGGCCTAGAGCACACTCTAATTACTTCAAGCAAGTACGCCGAAGAGTCGCGCATAGCACCGTTTGTTGCAGAATGCCCTAGTCAAAGGGACTTATGGAATCCAGGCAAATCTGGACACATAGACTTTTTGTGTGGATGCAGGCCTTAGCCAAGCCACCATTAAGCCACGAGCTCATAGGCTGCATGCGAGGTCGAGGCGGCTCAAACTTCCCGCAATACCGTATCTCAAAGGTCTGACTGGTCCGTTTATAAAGGCTTCGGCATGAGTGTGATAGCAGGAGCGGGATCCCCTCCAGGTAACAGGGAGTTTCGGCTATTCGCGACTCAGAAAAGTGAAGGGCGTAACTGAGCTTTGAGGCGAATGCTAACGTAAGCTTACTGCCGACTGGGACTGGGTGTACAAAGAGGAAAAATGGTATCGCCTCCCTGGAGTACGTTGGGCGGGGCATTCGCAGACATCTAAACGCGTTGGTGACTTGTCAAACCTCTACTACAAAGCATGGTTCATTTATACTGTCTAAACTGCCACGTAACCTTTGATTCAACTGGCTTGGCGGCTGGAAGGCGGGGCTTTGTGACCTAATTAAGGCCGCCCGCGCCTGCTACGCAATCTGCGTCTCTCTCGCGCGCGTGCTCTTTGCTCATTACCTAGCCTTAATTAGGTTGCGAAGCCCCGCCTTCCAGCCGCCAAGCCAGTTTAATCAAAGGGTATATATGTTGTTGTCATACGTGGCAGAGTTGGCAGCAAGAGATTACAAGGAATAGAAGGTTGAGATAGAAGGTTAGCAAGTTCTCCACCGTATTCGGATGTCTGCAAATGCTCCGCCCAACGTACAATGGGGAGCGACGATAGAGAGGTGTACCAAGAAGAAGTTCTCAATGCTTTGGTTTGGAAGGTTTATGGAACAGAGACTTTGCGATTCAGAAAAGCTTTATGTCTTATCAATCGACATACCATTCGAAAGCGTGGAACATGGGAATCGATGTGAGCCGTCTCTTTTTTCCCAGCTCTCCTGTGACGTCACATATAAATTTCATCTAGCTGCAGCATCAGCTGATTTGATGCGATCAGTTTGCGCTCCATTTCTGAAAGGAAGAGGAAAGCTAGAAAAAAGAGACGGTCTACGTATACTGCCAAAGCATTGTCTGTAACATAGTTAGACATGGCCTCTTTTATTCTTTGCGTAGCAATGTCCTCCGCTTCACAAAAACACGCATGTTTTCAGCTTAAATGCCATGTATCTCCGAGTTAGAGAGGAGCTAGGAGAAAAGAGGCGGACTATATCGAGTTTCCATTTCGTGAACTTTTTAACGGTTTATAGATTGTTGAGATTAGATTGCGCAGCGACCGGAACTGCGCGAGGTATGCCTTAGGCTTTACATGATTCTTCCCTACTACAGTACATGTATCAGGTCGTTACAAAGGTAATGTCGCTTTTTTCAAGTGAATGCTACATTCCGTGGAAGCAAGGTTTCTAGGAGATCCTGGTAGCATTCGATGCAGCATTTCATTCTCTTTTTCATGGTTATGTGAGCATTGCACAGTATTCGATAAGCTACAAAAAATTACCAAAATCTGCGACCCATGCTTTTTGAGAAGGTCAAGTTTCACAATTTCTCTAAATTTTTACACTATCCTCCGAAGAAGTCTAAGTAACAGGTGAATTGAGCAAACCCTGTAGGAAACAACCGATTTTTTTTTCTACTTTCCATAGCTCGTCATAATTTTTGTGGAGACTTTTCAATAAAATCACCGAATCTTAGCAGACTTGTCTCAGACACAGATGCATCAAATACCAATAAATCTTCGGATTTTGAAACTTACAAAGGTGGATTGTGGTTTGACACTAGTTCTACAAAGCAAATGAGCGTTTGCCGCTTCAGATTAGCAACTTTCGCAAATTTCGGGTATAACCGTGGGCGCCCTGGAAAACGTGAATTATGATAACTTTATTCCGGAAAACTCAGTGAATCGGAAACTAAAAACAACTGGTAAAAAGAGGAGACAAAGCTGCTTCGAATGACACCTGAGTAGCTTATCGGTTGTTGTTCGGTTTGAGTTGACCAAATATGGATTTTGATGGCACTGAAAATTTGATTCTAGAAACTCTAAGAAGCAAACTAAGGAAAAGAAAAAAATGTTTTGTGTCCTATAGGATTTGCTCTATTTATATGGTACTTGTACATCTTCGGGGAGTCAGTACAAAATCATAGAAAAATAGCCATTTGACCATGTCGAAAAGCATGGCAGATTCTGGTGATTTTTTGAGAGCTCATTGAATATTATGCAATAAAATTACAACCATTAGAAAGAGGACGGAATCCTGCACCGACTGATTCTAAAAGCTCTTGAAAATCTTGGTTCCACGAAATGTGACGTTCATTTGAAAAAAGCGACACTACTTTCGGAATGACCTAATATTATTGACCAACGTTATTCAATCATCATACAAATTTATAGGTTATTTGCTAACGAAGCTAGAGTACTCTGAGTAAGACAGGAAATACCAAGCTTGCGTTTTTCACAATAAACGCTGTAAAAGTGCAGTCATATCATGCACTGACTAAAAAGAAGCAGTTGCTGGCGGTTTCGAACAAAATGTGCACCTCGTAGGTGTTCCAATCTGCCGTTATGCCTTGACTCTAGTCTTATCCTCAGGTGATGGGGGGTCTTTCAGATGTTGGCTCAAAAGTGAAGGGGCAGAGAAATTTCTCCCCTATCGCACCTATGGGCTGTGGTACTAGGCGAGTGTTTAATGAGAATGTCTTGACTACAAATGAGTCGTGTGGCGGCTCGGTGGGGCCAGCACCTTGCCTAAAGTGCTCGCCGCAGCTACACCTAACTCCCGTTTGTCCCCTACGATGTCGCGCGTCCACCAAGGTTCATGACGCCTTGACGGGCGCTGCCGAGGACTACCCTCTACAAGAATAAACGGCACGGTAAAATAGCGCGTAACGCTAAGAGAGAAAAGGACCGGCTAATTTAGACTACATTTATCTATAAAACACAAAAATAAACTACTATACTACAAAAACTACTGAAATTATTAAAAACTGCTAAACTACTACTTCAAATGCATGAAAAAACTAGGCACGGGGCGAGCCGCCTCGTCCCGTGCTGCCGATGCTGATGGTGATGAACTTCAACAAGTAGTTCCGGGCTCTCCATTGGGTCAACCGCAAGCCCCTAGCCCTTCCGGGACGGTGTGACCCCTCTCCACTCCCGCTGGTACACTTCCTGCGCAAGAAGAGCCATAACATTTAGCTGCGTCTCCAAAACCAAGAAGATAGCAAAGGCTCAACCGCTCGAAACCGATGATCATCTGCGGGAGCTGTTGGAGGCGCTGCCAGCACGAACGAAATCATAAAAACGATCAATACGAACGGAATTCGAAGAGGCGTAGACCGCGGCCTGCGCGCCCTTATATACCCTGTGACTTGGCAACGCGCCCAGCAGGAGAGGTCTTGGCGCGATCTTGAAAGCGCGCCAAGTAACGCGATAGCCAGCGCTCCCGGCCTCCTGTTACGAGGAGTGGCTTGCATCGCGAGCCGCGACAAGTCGTATGGGCTGATTCCTTCCTAGGAATTCTCAAGGTTTTCAAATAAGAAGCTCAGGTGCCCTGGGACAGTACTTTAGAACTTCGATCGCATAGCGAAAGCATGCATGTGCGTCCTCTAAGTGTATCTGTAAAACCAAAGAAATTTTACTATCGTGACCAAGTTTGCAATTTATGAATTTATGTCCTTTATCAACATTTTTGTCGCATATGATAGAAAGTAATTGAATGGATTGATCAGTAATTGATTATTTAAGGCAAACCTTGTGCCCTCACCTTCGATGCTTGACCCGTTATCCACGGATAATTTCGGTGGCTTCCAATGCTATATGGTTGATGCCGCTACCAGATATCTATCCCAAACTCATGTCCGACAAGCGCTACACATTCCGGACTACGTTCAGCGTTGGGATTTTTGCAGGTAGTAGAGGAAAGTTCAAATTTGTTACTTTTTCGCGCTTATAGTAATTGAATGTGTTTACAGCGATCTCGTTGGGAACAACTATGTCTTGCAATACAATGATACAACATCTGTTTTTGAGGATATTCTGGACAGCGGATATCCTTTGAGGTACAAAAAATTTTATGGCTCAGTCTATGATATTACTACATATTTAGAGTTCTAATCTACAATGGGGATGCGGATACAGCATGCAGCATGTTCGAAGCTGAGTGGATGATCGAATCATTTGCAAAAGACAACAATTTGGTTATTTTTATTTTTGCTTTTCTCAAATTCTAGCATCTAATGGTGACAACTCTAGGTTCCGAGTCAACGAAGCCCATGGACATATGCTCAACAAATTGCTGGATATGCAAAACGCTTCCAGAGTCAAAATCTAAATCTCACTATCGATCTGCTCACAGTAAAGGTTATTCTTTTCTTACCCTGATCCGATACTCACCAAGGCATTTGACTTAGGGAGCCGGGCATTTTGTGCCAACAGATCGCCCTGGTCCAGCGCTCCAGATGATCTCCAACTTCTTCGCCGGTCACAGTAATTACAATAACACAATTCCTTACGACCTCACGCGTAAACCTCTTTTGAGGCAGTACCAGGCAAGTACTTGTGTTGTGTTAAGGCTCGAAATCTTCGTTACTATGACGACTGTTTGGTAGAAACTCCTTCCAGAAAACATGTGAATCTAGAAATAATCTCTATTTCCTTTGTCACCCTTCTACAGCTACTACAGGTATACTGTAAAGTGGTTTTATCTAAAAATGCTGACTGGTCCGTGAGAGGTCTTAGTCCCAAAGGCAGGCAATCCAAAATTTGCGTTGTCGTCAATGTGTTAAATTGCTCAACGTTTGTAAATACGCAAGTTTAATCGGGTATCTAATCGGGTGCAAATCAAAAAGTTATTTCACTAGAGCGCAGGTTGTAAGGTTATTTGCAACTGTTTGAAACTACATGAGCTCAGAAGGCAAAAAATATGAGAATTCTTGAAAAGCAATTTTCGAGCGCATGAGTCGTGAGATGCGCGCTTTATGTGCAGCACACATGCTAAGTTAAAAATGGCTCGATTGTTCAGTCTCTCGCAACTAGGATCGCAGATTTTCTGGTAGCCCCTATTCGCAGCGCCAGAAGTTAGCGCCACATGTGCATAAGCAAAACGTGCGCAAAAGCGAGCATTTTGTCGGCTCTAGAGTAAGGCCCTGGGCATACCTCACCTTCAGTCGCGACGCGATTTGGAATACTCCAGTTGTTCAAGACTTGTCGTAAGGGGTTTCTGATGTACGGAAGATGAGGCATTTCATCAACCTACAAAAGTTATGTTGCTGTTGAAGATATCTGGCAAATTGCCAGCTCGCCTGGCTACTGAAATCGCATGAGGTATGCCCATGACCGAAAAATGAGCGCGAAGTCGTTCTGGTTCTGCCACGACATCCGTCATTTCAATTTCCGATTGACGCTGGAACGGACTGGCTACATGAACACTGAATTTTTCATACATTTACGGATTTATAGGAGAAAGGTAATGGCCCTACTAACCCCATTAACGCAACCACCACGACTGCTTCTTCTCTTACCTCAACCACCAGCAACGGAGCCACCAATCCAACTGATTCATCGCCATCCAATAACACTACTGCCACCACCATCAGCCGTAAACCTGACACTCCTGTTACCCGCACTCCTTCTCCGACGGCTCCAACGTAAGTTTTTTCACACAAGGTCCCAGTGATCGATATATCGATCGCTTGATAATACCTATGAAGTATATATAATAACACATTCTAGGATCAGTGAATATGTTCATAGCAGTACCACCCCCAACTCTGCACATCAACCCGTTGTGACTTCGTTTGTAATATACACGCTTACATTTATGGTACTTGTTTTGTTACAAGGGAACTAATATCATGTTAACGAAATATTGTAGCTCAATGATACTTTTCTGTGATGAATACGTCGGTCTCATTCTCGATAAATTTCTAATTTTATTGGGTGGTAATCCTGCCATAGTTATTGCAAAGCCGGCATACGGGGACATACAGTATTTGCGCAGTCGAGTCATTTGCAGTGTTGACATGTCTACTGCACACTATACGCTACAATACACGATCTCAGTTCCCTTCTTTTGAAAATAGGTGTCTATACTATTGTCTTCTTCTTTTTGAGCATAAGTAGGTGCGAACAGTTATAAATAAACCTAAACAGTAATTTCATTACCACGACTATAGTCAATCTTAACAAGTGAAAAGTCTTCACCGCGCGACGTATGCAATTTCACACATCATGTTACACCACATGAACACTAAAGTCACGTCATACTAAAATTGTGTGAATGCAAGCCTTGCGCAAATTGCGCCTCCCATCGGTGAGTTTTTTTTTTGGAAGGAAGCGGATTTCATCCGAGTAAACGCTTCACTGGCGTATTTTTGTTTTTATTCCATCGAGCCAAAAAATTTTTTCCGAAATGTGCACGCAAAAGTCCAACGAAATCCAGTATGGGACGCACAGTGTGTACAAGGTGTGCAGTTACACATATCAAGATGTAATGATTAGACTGTATAAATGCAAGCTGTCGTTGCTTGTATGAGACACCGTGCAGCTGCAGCGAGATGAAAGGAAGTGGCAGACACTCGGACTCGCGCTGCCGCTTCGCCGCTATGGTCGCAGCGCGCGTATTTTCTGCGTTACTGATTGGTTGAAAAGTTCTTTTCTTGGCCCTGAGCCACTATAAACAAAATCTGCTGCAACCTGTCAAACTGAATGTACAGCACCATAGCATCTTGCGCATTTGACCCTAGAGTAGAAAGCAGATACAGGTGCTTTGAAAAAAGGAAAAAATTTCTGACTGCACTAGAATTTGATTACCGTTAACTAAGCTTTTTGAACCTTAGACACCTGAAAGATCATGATAAAATTAGATGATAAATTATTACAAAAGAGAAGCTTTGATGAGACGCTTTCGGAAATCCTAAAAACTAATCTATTTAGCTCGTATAATCAGCGCCAGATTTGAGTGCGCGTTTCAAAACTTATGTTAAATGAGTTGATGTGTATCCGAACGTTGCATCACGGTTCGAAAACGAGTCGAATCCAGTTCTGAGCGAAAGCAAATGCATTGGAGGCGTAGCGTCTTAGAAGGATGGCTGAAGAGAGAAGAGTGCGCGTGAGCGTTGCTTCGGTCCGCGATTGCGTCCAGATTTCGCCACATCGAATGTTGAAGGTTGACATAACGATGACGCCGTTGTCTGCATGGAGATGGTGGGAAAGACGGGTTGACGGGGAGAGCGGGGGGGGGGGTTGTGGATGAGCGGGGGTAGCGCGAGACGAAGACGGCCAGGCGACAACGCAACGCAGCATGGACTATTTTGAGAGCGAAATCCGAATCTCCGAGTTCAGCGTCAGCAACCATGTGGATATTTTGCTACTTCCACACTTGCAACGCCTACGTTCGCGCGCTCACCTGCACATCAACTCGTACGTGTGTAAGAAAGAAGTTGAAGGTGCAGGCACAGAGGTTCAAGTGACCCAGTTGCGTCAGTCTAATGTCATTCCCTCTTATGGTGTTTCCTCCATTCAGCCCTCATTTACGATTTGAAAAGCGTTACGTGACATGAAAGAGTCGCATCTTTGTGTGGATCTGTGGCCTAGATGTCCGTAGAATAGCACGGACAAATACAGACACACATCTTCTATCGTATGAATTTTTTCTGCCCTTCAAGTGTGCACAGTTCGGACGCTTTTTCTTGTTCTTCACATCTGCAAAAGTAGAAGTTCTCTAGTGCGTCTTATTTCCATATGAATTCTTCTTCTTGTATTTTCAAGGTTTTCTTGTATCTTCTATTTTTCAACTGTGAGAGAAAGAACAACATGGCATTTGGAGCTTGAATTGTTTAGATCTGAATATTTTATTAATCATCAATCTATGCCAATAAAGAAAGATAATGGTCCATGTTTCTTTTGCTATGTGCAAGTCTATCCTACACTTTTTGGGACTTCGATTTTCAGTTCTCAAGCATTTTTTCATACGCAAATATCATGTTACAGTACAGTTTCGTTTTTTTTCACCTCTTCATCATAGCTCTTGGGCGCTTTCTTGTAATTTTTGGGATTGCAAGTTCTTATACTTGTATTTTTCGTCACGAAGAGCTCTAAGATCTAGTCTAGTAAAGAAGATAAAGAGAAAATAGTTGAAACGAGATTAAACACCTCAAACAATCGAAATCGGGTCAATTCGCGGAAACTCCGAAATCGTACGCAACACCACGAATCACATAATCCGATGATCAACCAGTTACACTTTTCTAGCTTTATCTAATCTTATGAACTTGATTTGATAAGAATCGATTAACATTCCCAGTCATCAGCCTTTTTGAGGCATTAATTCGCCCACGAGACAGCGATCGTAACCGAGTTGAGTTCGGAAAAAAACGTCAAAGCCGAGGATTTATGTGCAACATAGGAAAGCAGCAACTAGATCCTCGACCTTGAGATTACACCATGGTCAAAGTACATTTCGCTCTCTCTCTTATGACTTGTTTTATAGTGGATAGATCTCCTATGAGTTATGGAATGACTTCCTGCGCAATGTCTGCTTGATCCTGAACAGATTTTTATTTGATAAATTAATGTTTTCTCGAAGCTTTTGGCAAGAAACTCCATGTATTAGATTCTGAGAGCGAACCAGCTAAAATGTGTAAGCAAGAGATTATTATCTTTTTCGAGAAACTTATTCTTTGTCATTAGAAATAACTTCTTCGCTCTTTAGAGTTTCATAGTGTAATAAGTGTGAAAGACTCGATAAAAGCCTCTCTCAATGCTTCTAATGCGATTATCGTCCGGGTTCACTTATTGTTTTTTTTTCCTCTAACTATGAAAGACATCTAAGAATCGCTAGAGAAACTGTACGCTTTGAAATTTGTATTATTTGCTAACATTAGGCTTAATTTCAAGGTAATCATGGCTAATTTAACATTACTGTACTTATCCCCACTAGCCATGATCTTCAGCTTTCTGCAAACAGATGTCAAATTATGAATTGTTAGTTTTTGTGCTCAATATGTAGTGGATAATCTCGTTGGACAAAGTTGAATAAATAACATAGTAGATCTTTGAGTGGTACAAGTTCTTTCTCCAGTAATCCCACACTATGGACTGTATCTCATCAACAATTTATATAATTGCATGGATTTTTTGCTCATAAGGCGCGTAATATTCTTAATTAATTCCTTTATCTCAAATAGACTTTGATGAACCGCAACTTGAACGAACTGCTCACATGTAGGCAAATTTATAGCCGCTGTGAAACAGGAAATCTTATCGAAAAGCTGGTCGGAACATACGTGTTGCACAAATTTTCAAAAATCTGTGACTTTCCCACTGTGCAACGACTTTTGGTATGATATAGTTTAGAAAGAGAAAACCATACGTTTTTAATATCGGGGAAGCAAAAAATAGAAAATCATTTTGCATGCTGCGGCATCACAAGATGATTGAAACAAACATTGAATTTCTCACAATTTACAGTAGCTTTTGATTTCCACACTTTCCAATTGAGCAGAGTTCGTGGTGCTCAGATGCCTCTACAAAAATTGTAAAATTTTTTTGACTTTTTGATTATGTTCAAAATGTTTTTAGGCCTACAATTACGGCTGAAGGGAGTTCGTGGTGATCGGATGTTTTTACAAAAATTGCAAAATTTTTTGACTTTTTAATTTCGTTCAAAATGTTGCTAGGTCTACACCTTCGAATTAAGGAGACGTGCTGATCGGATGTCTGAAAAGTCTAAAAAGTTTTCGACTATTGCAATTGTTCAAAATTATGTTTTTCGTATAGATTACATTTTTATTTAATTATCATACAGCTTCAAAAGGTCTTTCAAGCAATTGGAATCGACTTTCGAGGTTTGGTGCAGCACTTGTATGCTAGCCTAGTAATTTAATTTTCAAATCCTTTGTATTGAAAGTCATTGCTCTATAGCAGACACTATAAGAATATCGTACCGTTAAAATGGCTCTTCAAGCAACGAATTTTCAAAATTATTTGGTGCACAAATTCTTATTTTTTTTGTAGAATTCGAGCACGATATTTAGCTAGAATTTTACCGATGTGGATTCATACGACCCTCGATATCAGATGTCGCAAACTTGCAAGTGATCTAACATGTTGTGTCATGTTCAAGCTTTTAGAGTGCAGTGATTCGTCAAAAGCTGGTATGGTTGATGAGTGATGCGACATTACATCTTGACCTTCAGTTGCACGCTCCTTTCACTCGACTCACCCCCACACACATACAGAGAAAGAGTTTTACAACAATTTATCGTTGTTGTTTTTTTTTTCGAGAACACAAACGCAACACAGAGAGACCGACAGCTATGGCTGCTGTGCAAGATGAGTCGAAGAGCATTGAACCGGTTCCTTCTTGTTGTAAATGCCGTATAATTATGCTTTATATGTAGAAGAGTAGGCGCGGTCAAGCTTTTAACTTGACTTTTCTGTGCCCAAAGTAAATACAGGCGCCCGCTTGTCTCGGCCCCCCTCGCCGCTAATAAACAACATTTTTTTGCGATTCTAAAACAAGTTTCGAGCTCTGCCTACTTGTTTCTTGCCCGCTCTCAAGAGATTGACTTGCGTTACTCATTACCTATACTTACTATGATCTCATTCTTTCCGCGTAGTTAGATATTACCAAAGTTCTATCGAAGTTCTCCCTAATTTGCCGCAGCTGGTAAGCATAAGAACTTTATTTTTGTTATATCATTAATTTTTTTAATATTTTGTCGTATATCAGTTATTCATACAGTTTGTTTTTCTTATATTATAATACTGCGTGCATGCATTACTATATCAAATTTGAATCCACATCATTACAGTATCTTCTTCTTGCGCGATCACTCGAAGCCCATGTTAGTGTATCAAATCAATTTGTAAAACATCTAGTATTCTTCCTAAATGAGGGCAAGTGTTGATTTTAATCTTCTTCATACCTTGTCTTCCTTCTATCAGACTCATTTCATATGGTAGAAAGGTAGAAAGCGAATTTGGATGAAATTTATCTATCCTTTTACGGGTGTATGTCAAGAAGCGCGATTTTTATTGCCAGATGGACACCAATTAACGCAATTTTTGGTATTTTATGACGT